CCCCCCCCCTCCTCCTCTCGATATGCCCATCTGGAGTGCACCAACACGTGCGGCCCTCTGTCCTCCAGGGGCCAGGCGGCGCCACCGCGGCGAGAGAGCTGGCGCGGGGCGCCTGCTGCGGCCGGGCCCGGGACGGGAGAGCACCCCTTCAAGAGCACGAGGCCCTCCACCGGCCAAACCGCAGAACATTCGAGGGTACCCTTCCCAGGGTACCCTCGAACATTCGAGGGTACCCTTCAAGAACACGAGACCCTCCACAGGGCGCACAAGAACACCAAACAAGCACGAAGAGCATTTAGGGTACCCTCCCCGAGCCGACCTCCAGCTTGCACCTCGGCCCGACTGTGGCTCGGCGGCGAGCCCGTGGGGGAAGTGAGGAGGAGAAGGCCTGCTCGGAAGTCCCCGGCGGCCTAAGAAGACTGCTGAGCCTTCCCCGCAGACGCAGAACACTTCCCAGGAGGCCAGAGACCTTATGATAAATCCCGCCGCCTTCTGAGAATCGGCTGCACGCAAGAGTGACCCTGGGTAAAAGTGAGCTTTGGTGCGCGGCTTTTAGGGGGCCGCGGGGTGGCCAAACGCAAACGCGCAAGACGCCATCAGCGTATCGCGCTCTGCGATCGGGGAACCCCAATGTGCCTCGGAGATCTTCTGACCCGGGTCAATCCAGACCCGGGTCAGTCAGGCCATGCAGAATCATGAAGATCCTGCAAGATCCTGCACCCAAATCCGGGTCAATGCGAAGGATCCTGCAAGATCCTGCAGGATCTTGCACCCAAACCCGGGTCAGTGCGACCCCGGCCCTGCAGGATCCTGCAAGATCGGGCGCTCTGGCTGACCCCCGTTTGCATCGACCCCCGTCTCGAGGCTCCCGAGTGCCCGCACCAAAGGTCGCTCCGGCGAAGGGCCACTTCTACGTCTAGTCGATGAGAAGGCCTTCTCCTTCTCGGGAGCGGCAAAGAGGGGGGTGTCCAAGAGGGGGAGGTGCAAATCATGACCGGCGGCATGTGCGCGGCCCAGCGGGGGGGCCAGGGACGTAATGAAATAAGAAGGGGCGCCATGAGATCTGGGGAAATATTATGGCCCCCGCCATGATATCCACCCCCCCCTAGTCATCACCCCCCTCTTTTCCGCCCCCGACCTTCTCACCTCCCCCCTCGCTCGCCGCCGAGTAGCGACCGCTAGCGTCGGGCGCACGCCGCCGCGCTTCCCACGGGGCGTTGCAAGCGGGGGGCCCTGCGCGGGAGAAGCGAGCGTGCGGGGGCAAGGGCACCCGGGCAGGCGAAGCCAGGCGGGCGAAGCCAGCACGCGCAAGACTTGCCAAGGTGCGCAGGGCAGACCCGGAAGAGGAAGAGGAGGAGGGGGAGGAAGAAGAGGAGGAGGAGGAGGAGGAGGAGGAGGAGGAGGAGGAGGAGAGGCAGGGGGAGGAGGAGCAGGGGAGGGAGGAGGGGGAGGAGGGAGGGGGGAGGTGGGGAGGGAGGAGGAGGAGAAAAGGAGGAGGAGGTGGAGGAGGAGATGGAGGAGGAGGAGGAGGAGGAGGAGGAGGGAGGAGGAGGAGGGAAGAGGAGAAGGTGGGGGAGGAGGAGGAGGAGGAGGATCGCACGCCACTGGAGGAGAAAAAGAGAGAGAGAGAGAGAGAGCCCAACAGTTCCAGCCAAAACCCCGAGGGGGGGCCCTTCAACGAGGGTTTTTGTCGTCGCCTCGGCGCGGCTCGGCATGGGCAGCGCGCCGAGGGCCAGCGACAGGGCCACCCCCCAGGAACAAAAACCTCACCATAGTCCAGGGGCGTCCAGGCGTCCAGGCGTCGGGGAGGGGAAGGAGGAGGAGGAGGAGGAGGAGGAGGAGGAGGAGGAGGAGGAGGAGGAGGAGGAGGAGGAGGAGAAGGAGGAGGAGGAGGAGGAGGAGGAGGAGGAGGAGGAGGAGGAGGAGGGGGAGGGGGAGGGGGAGGGGCTCCCTTCGAGGGGCTCACCCCTTTCTCCGACGTGAAGCTCATCTGCGAGGCAACTCGCCTCCGCTACGTTCGGCCCGAACGCCTGGAGACAGTCGGCTGG